TTCCCCAGCCAGCCATGCTGGCTGGGCAATTCTGGGAGTTGAAGTCCACTCATCTTAAAGTGGCCAAGTTTGGACAACACTGATTTAAAAGCCTCAGAAGCTTTCCTGAGAGCCATCTGGACAGCATGATAGCAAACATGTGTTCAAAAGCCTTTCCTAATGACTGGCAGTCATCATGGTAGCTAGCATGTTGTGAAATTGGAGGGGGTGGGGATGGGAATGAAGGATGCCCTAAACAACACTGTTGTACTAGAATCTTCATGAAGAAGAGACTATGCTAGTGATGGCGAATCTTTTGGGCTCGGCGCGTCAAAAATTTGGAATATGCCTAACTTGACTCTGCTGGCATGTCACCCACCCCCCCAAACAAAAGAGAAACAATTCTTTACGTATTCATTTGTTTAAAAAAATACAGTCTAATCATGTGTGGTGCTATGTATTAAATAAAGAAACGTCAAATAATTACAAAATGAAATACGAGTAAAACAAATTCAGTTTCTTTGGTAACTGAAACAGGGAGAATAGTTGTCGGGTGTTGGTGAGTGCTGGCATGTCACCCAAAACGTCGTGGCGTGTCACCTTTGACACATTTGTCATAGGTTCGCTGTCACTGGACTCTGCACTGGGGAGAAGAAGCTCGTTTGGGCGTAATGCATAAGGAAATGAGATGGTTTGCCTGACAGAAAAAGGAGCCAGATATGGTAGGAAACCCCTCCTATGAAAAACAGACCATTCCTGTTGGCTGTGGAAGCACGACCAAAAGAGAAGTAATAGAAACATGATAATGTGGAGTTTCAGGAAAATTGTGGCTTTTCTTCACTGTGGAAACAGATGGGGGAGGTAAACATAAGCACTGGGTGAGAATTGGTAAGTTTCTGGCAGGTCGGTAAGGATGCTCCGAAAACTTCTCTAAGCCAGATATAAACTGAACAGTCCTTTAGACAGAGATGCCATCAAGGAGTAGGTTGTCACCTTACAACCTGTAAAAGAGGCAAAGGTAAAGGCTTATTTGGGTCAAGCCTGATTCCTGGTGACTGTACGGCCATATCAGTGTAGTTTTCTTGGCAACAAATAGAAGTGGTTTCTGGTCCAGGTACCAACCAGGTCCAAATCTACTTAGCTGTGTCGAGATCAGCCAGTGTCAAGTGCTGTCATCCACTCTGACTCTTGAAATACAGGACTATCCATCGTAAAGCAGAATGCTGCCCACCTTTGAGATCCTCCCTCATTATCTTTTGGCTCCAAATCTCTCCTTTCCTCCAACAAGCTCAGGCACCATGGTTTACTGGTACCACCACGTAGTTTTCTTGCAATAATAGTACAGGCGGGCAGGGGGAGTTTAAAATGTGACTCTCTGCAAATGCTGTTCCACCTACTCTTCGCATCTGTGAACAAATCTAACTTTAGACAGAAAACAATCTGAGTATTTATTTTTAAATTGCTAATGATCTTCTTGCAGAGTCTCTATGGGGACTCACTAACACTTTTATTTGCTTAAGTTCTGGCCTGCTGTAACCTGCCCTCTGTGATAATCGTCTCAAACTGCAATTTGATGTGAAGGTGGACGTGTGCAGAATACTGCTTTGTTTGCAGAATGGAATCTATTGTGACAAACTGATAGGTGTTTGAGTACACAAAACAGATATCAAGCAAACTTGTAATACAACAAGATTTGGGGCGTCCTGGTGAGAACATGCTCTATCCTTCTGATTCAGAAGTACCAGACAAGCTGTTCTTAGCAGTTTTAATTGACCTTGAGATTACATAGAAGATATGTACATTTTGCAAAGGTCCTAAGAACATCCACTGAGCTTCCCAGAATAATGTGTGGATACACTATACTGCCATTTTAACTTTTTAAAATTTCCCCTTCCACACTCACACAAACATTCTCGCTTGCATTTGAATGTGTGCCTTTCTTTAGACAGCGATGTAGATTTAAATTACACTAATCCTGCAGCCATCAGGTGCACCTGATTCAGTTATATGCTTGAGGAACATAAATTCAGTGTATCTGAAATTAATCCCAACTGAATCACTGCAAGCTCTATCATCTGGGTAATACACGCACTCACACAGAGAAATATATAACTTTTTGTTCAAGACAAGCTGCCATTAACAGCCTGATAAGGGTTTGTTTCTTTATTTTCCCAGGCCTGTTATAGAGATTGGAGAGGAGGAGGAAGAATCAAATCAGCCTATTGCTCTGAGGAACTGTTTTCGCCTGCAAAGGAACAGTTTCCTTGAGAAGCTCATCAAAACCTGCCCAGCTTGGCTTCAGTTTGGCATCAGTCTGGAGAAGGCTTCTGAAATACTCTGCAAGGAACCAGCAGGGGTATGCCTATGCTTCTTCAAATAACCCAGCTCTTCAATGAGCAGTTATTCTTTCTTAAAGCCTGAGTCTGATTCTGAATCAGATCTTTCAGCTCATCTGTATTTGACCTATAGCTTTGTTTTCCCATTATAGAGCTGTCACTTCCTCAGATGTTCATAGGACTGATTGTAAGACATGAGTGAAGGCATAAATAGTACAGATCAGCCTCTCTGAACCTGGCACTCATCAGAATTCCCAACCAACATGGCCCATCTCATCCAGAAGCACCAGGCTGGGCAATGGAGGATAGTCAGAGTAGAGTGACAGGCATCAGGAATGACAGGTTGTTGTTGTTGTTCACTAGAACCTCCAGGTGTGCTGTTTGGAGCCAGATGCAGCATATGATTTATTCATCTGATTTGTTTAAGAAATCACACGCTGCTTTTCCAAACAAACTTTTTCCCCAGGACAGTTTGCAAAACATTTTAGAAACTAGTATCTGCTTCTGAGTACACACTTAGCCCAAGAATTTCTTCTAACTATCAGAACAGAACTCACATTTCTTTGGCACACAAGGATTGAACTTTTTTCATTATAGCAATCAAATTTTGTCTGGGGGAGGAAGAACTTTTAATTATCGATGTTAATGAAGGATTGCAATTTGATGAATGAATGTGGATTGAATACAAAAGTTGAATGACCTGTACAAAACAAGTATGTTGAGGTGTTTTGGTCATGAATGATCATAAGTACAGTCAGGACCAGAAATACTGGAACAAGGATAACTGTTTTGGCATTTGGCCTCTGTACACCACCACATT